CAGGCCCCACCCCACCACGGCTCCACGCCCAGGACCTAGTGCCTCGCTCCTAAATGCAAGCTGACAACAAAGGATCACCAGGCACTAGGAGGAAGCCTGAGACATGAAGGACAGGGCCCAAGTTAGCAGAAAAAGGGAACTTGAAGATCGCACAGATAATATGAGGAAACAATGAGAGCTAAGGAGTGAACAACCAAACCCATAATTAATACTTTCAGAGAGACAAGCAAATACATTGCAACCACCAGACAAGAAGGGAATATTGAGAAAAACGTTTGAAAGGGAAGAATTTAAGACAACATAAAGAGCTTAGAAACAAACAAAAATATTTACAGCTAAAGAAAAAAATTTTTAAAAATACATCAGAAGAGAAAATTTGCATCGATGACAGAAGTAGAGAAGGAAATAAACGAAGTTTAATGCTGAATGACTGTCTTCGTTTGTGGGACTTAGACCTAAGTTAACAGCCCTGATGGTTTTAACAGGTCCTATACATTCAGGAAAGGCCCAGTGTTCTAACTGCGTTGACTGGCAAGACACGGGAGTACCGGAGATCACCCACCCCGGGGGAGGAGGGGAGGGAAAGGTACCGTGAGGAAGTAGGCACTCAGAAACCAAGTCCAAGTGAGCAGACCTCAGAAAGAGAAAGTAGTTTGGGTTCATTTGAGGGCTATTTGGGTTCATTGCTCGGGACCTCGGGGGGAGGGACGCGTGGACTTTATTCGATGCTGCACCATCATCACAGACGACCCTGCTCTCCAGGCTCCTCCACTGCATCCTCTACTCCACAAGCATCATAACACCATGTGGCATTTACTGTGTGCACTCTGTGCGCCAGGACCTGCCCTAGGAATTCTGTTCTCCTTCAGTCGTTAGTGCAAGTAACTCATTTAACACAACCCTATGAGTTACTGCGAATAATAGTCAGTTACTATCTGATTTTATGGAAGAGGAAACTGAGGAACAAGAGGATCTTGGCTGAATAAATCATGAGATGCCTATGCAATGGAACACAGATTCAGTACTTACAAAAGATGAAGCATGAGTGTGCATGTGTGTGTGTATAAAATTAGGTGCATGATTTAACAAGTGGGAAAACCATCTTCTTACCAAAAAGCAAATGAGAGGACCCACATGAGAGGAAACGCGTGCCAGCTGCTGCTGAGCGAGTAAAAAGCCTTAAACCAGATTAGCTTAGTGCAACAGATCAAAAGCCTCAAAGATATATATGCCCTGTGACCAAGGAATTCCACTTCTGGGCAGGGAGTCTAAGGGAATCACCAGCTTTGTGCACCGGGGTGACTCATCCTGGTTCCTTCATGCTGAGCATCTGGCTGCCAGAACCTGATGAGCTGCAGAGGACAGGATTGGACACGACAGACTGGGTCCCTGAGCCCATGGGGGTAACGTTCTAGATGGGGGAAGATACACAATAAGCAGGTAAACAAATAAACAAACATATGAGATAATTTTAGGGAGTAATAAGGGTCATATGTAAAATAAAAGAAAGTGGCGAGGACAGTGACTGAGGGGAGGGGTTGTTTCAGTGGGGGGGGGGACCAGGGAGGCTCCCTCTGAGGTGACACCTGTGACAGGGAGAAGCCTGTCTGGAGGAAGAGCCATGCGGGCCAGGGGGACAGCTTCTGTGCAGACAGGAGGTGGACACAAGGCTGACGGGCAGCGGGGACAGAGAGGTGGGCTCTGTGACTGGAGCCTGGTGGGGTGAGGAGGGCCTTGTGTGCGTGATGAAGGCAAAGGTGGGGGGGTGACACGTTTCTCATGGCTGGAGAGCGTCCTCACAACAGGAGGCCCAGCAGCCATTTTAAACAGTGAGGACACTATTGACACAGGAAGCTCAAGCGAAAGAGTAAGTTACAAGACGGTTTATATGGCACAAGTTCACACTTTACTTTTTAAGTTATCTATATAGAAAAGGATTTTAGACAAATATAAAGCCAAGCACTGACCACTATTTGGTTCTGCATAGTTGAGATTATGGGTGTTTTTCAACTTTTTAAATGTATTTTTCATTGAGGTGTAATTGACATACATTATATTAGTTTCAGTTGTACAACATAACAATTCAACATCTATACGTTGTGAAGTGATCACCACAAGTGGAGTTAACATCGACCATACATAGTTACAAATATACAATCCAGTGTTATTAACTATGGTCACCATGCTGTTCATTACATCTCATGACTTATTTATTTTATAACTGGAAGTTTATACCTTTTTACTCTATACAGCTTTTATAATAAGAAAAACAACAGTTTAAAAGACTTCATTTGCTGGGATGAGAAACAAAGATTTGCTGGATTTAAACTTGAGAAACACTTTGTAAATCAGCTACCTATGGAAGCCGCCGCGCGAAGGGGTGTGCAGTAAATCCTTCAAACTGTCAGAGGTTCTTCAGAGTCAGAATCAAGGACTCCTTCCCCAAAGAGAAACTCTCAAAAGATGGCTAACCACCAGCTTCGTCAACCCGTTCACACCCTGGTGTTTTAAGAGCGCCCACCCGCAATTCAAAGATGTGTTTGGCAGATAGAAAGCAATCAAAGGGGCCAGGAAATTCTGCAGACATTCCAAAGGAAATACCTGGCAGACACTATGAACAAGAATAACGTTCAAAGGGCTCTGGGTGTGTTAGATCATCCACTGCTGAAACACACACACTTGGCCCAGGCTAGCAGTAGCCGACCGTGCAGCCGCTTCACCCCTAAGCAGAGCAACCTGGGCACAACGTGGAGCCCAAGGCACTGTCCTCCTGGGCCCTCACAGGACTTGTGCCCCGAGTGCTCTCCAAAAACTGTACAGTGCGAAGAGCCTTTTGATTTATCTGGTGACGAGCCCAGGGGTTCTCGGTTTGAGGTTCTGATTTGATTTGCTACCTTTTTATTGTTTTGAATCCTGAATGGAGACTCAAGTCTGCCACAGACCTTCAGCTGGAATGTCCAATGGCTTTTTTAGCAAAGAAATGAGAATGTGTGTCTATCTCCAAGCTGGCTGCACCTCCCTCGGTCTCCTCGGTGTCTGGGCTCTTCTCTCTGCTCACGTCCTGAGCGCAGGACTAGCCCTCCCTCCTCGAGCTCATCTTCCCAGACGTGCCTTGCGACTTCCTGCCTCCCTGGCCTTGCTCCTGCAGTTCCCACTCGTACTCAGGGCCCGGCTGATAGGACCCTATCCCCTCAGGGCCTCCCTGTCGGCCCAGCCAGAGGCACACTCTCTTCTTCCAGGATCTTCCTTTCTGATAGGTTCTTGCATCAAACCCTCTTTCATATCGAGAAATACATAAGGCAGAGGAAAGAACTTGGATTTCTGGAGTCAAAAGGTGGAAACAACCCAAGTGCCCATCAACAGATGAAAAGATAAACAAAATGTGATGTGTCCTGTATACAAAGGAGTATTATTCAGCCACAAAAAGGGAATGAAGTACTGCACCTGCTACAACATGGAGGGACCTTGACAACATCATGTTAAGCGAAAGACAGTCACAAAGGGCCAGATCATGTACATTTATGTGAAATGTCCAGGAAAGGTAAATCCATAGAGACAAAAAGTAGATTGGTGGCTGCCAAGGGCTGGAGGCGGTAGGGATGGGAAGTGACTGCTAATAGACAGGAGGCTTCTTTTTAGGGTGATGAAAATATTCTGAAACTAGACAGTGGTGAAGATTACACAACTCTGTGAATATAGAAAAAGCCACTGAATTATACACTTTTAAAGGGTGAATTTTTTGTAGGTGAATTATATTTCAATAAAGCTGTATTTTTTAAAACTCTTAGCATAAGACCTGGCAAGTGGTAGATATTCAGAAAATGTTAGCTCTTTATTATTACCACTGTGTCTTAAAGTAAGGATCCGATTTTATTCCACGCGTATTTTTCAGGGTACCTTGCCTGAGGCCCTGTCGACAAGACAGAATCAGATGTCTGCGAGATGGCTGAACCAACAAGTAAAAAGTGTACACGGGGAACAATGCACAGAGTGAGGCTGGCACATCAGGACTACACAGAGTGGCCTCTCCCTGTCCTGTCTCCCACGCAGCTGCCGTGGGTACCACAGGCACAGAGAGGACCGACTCCCAAGACTGCGCATGGCATAAGGAAGCAAAGGCCTCTGGGACACCCCTGGAAGTCAGGAGCCCTGCTTCTGCATCTGCTGGTGGGGAAAGAGAGACACACAGGGAAGCCAGTTCCCAGGGGCTATAAGGCCCATGAGACAGGAAATGGGGAGGAAACACGGGCAGGGCACTTGGCTGCATCTAAGGGGAATTTCCTTCCTACTCCCAGGAGTCAGGAAAGAGGACCTGGGCCACAAATGTTCCTGCCTCAGCCACAGCCAGGTGGCCAGGCCAGGACATAGCCCCAGACACCCACAGACCCCGTGAAGAGCAGCACCAGTGGCCTAGAGGGTCCGTCATGGCTGGTGGGCACCCATGTGCACAGTGGGTTCCTCTCAGCCACGGACTCTCAACCTGTACGGAGCTGCTGATGGATCAGCAGGGGCCGAGGGGAGAATGACTCTATCACCGGCATGCAGACACCTGATATCACTGAGGAACAGAAAATTAAACAAGAGCTCTACCTCACGTGAAAACAAATTCCTGGTGGATTAAAGATTAAATGTGAAAAGCAAAACTTTAGAAGTTTTCAAAGAAAGAAACTTGCTTTATGATTTTAATAGAGGGAATTATTAAAGAAATAGACACGTGTGTACAAGAAAAATCTATAAAAAAGAAGATGATGAATTTTACTATCCTAAAATTAACAACATTAATGCTACAAAGGGCATTCAAAACAGTGAAAAGATAAGCCTTGGACTGGAAGCAATGCATAACTGACAATGGATTAATATCCAAACATAAATAAAGAACTCTTATAAATCAAAGAGGAAAAAAAAATCATCAAAAAGAAGTAGAAGTCGTATGAGAAAATGCTCAACCACTCTGGGAAAACACAAATTAAAAATGACAATTTTATACCATTCATGGTACATCACTGATTAAACTGAAACTATTGGACTAATGTGTGTGGGGCAGAAACTGGCACAGCCACTTTGGAGAACACATTCACCATCTTCACTAAGGGGAAGACGACCCAGCAACTCCACTCCTGGATTGTTCCCTGGAGAAGGAATTCTCAGCGTAGAGATATGAGGATGCTGTTTGCAATACCATTTATAGCAGTAAATTACTGGCAATAACCCAAATCCTCATCAACAGAAGGATGAACAAATATGTCACAGTGTAGTCATGCAACAGGACTCTATACAGCCTTGAAAACACATGCACTAGAGCTATACACATCCACAGGGGGAAATCTCAAAACAACACCAGGCAAAACAGCGGGATGAAAATATGTATAGTATGATATGTATTCCGTATGACGGCACCCATGTAAAGCTTTAAAGCAGAAAAGAACACCTAGGGGTGATAAACGCCGAACGTAGCGGTCACTGTGGGTGAGGACAGAGGCGTGGGCCTGGAGGGGGCACAGGCACCAATAACGTTTTGTTTCTTTTATTTCGAAAAAATTCACATAAACTTGGTGAAACATTAAGACTTGGGAAAGCTGCATGATGGTTACGTGGATGTTTGTTAACGTTATTCTCTGTACTTCTGGAAATATGTGAAATGTTTTGTAACACAATTTTTTCAATTTAAAAAACCAGGGAATAGAGACCTTAAAAACAGGGGCGTTCAAATACTTGCAAATGTGCACAAGGAGGTCTGTTGTCAGAGGAAACATCGGACACCCACTTAAATTTGAATTTCAGGTAAACAATGAATCGTTTTTTTTTTTCAAATTCAAAAACATATTTCAAAAATTTCAGATTTAACTAGGTATCCTGTATTGTTATTTGCTAAATCTGGCAACCCAAACAAGGAGGCCTGTACTAAGGCTTTGTTTAGTGGCAAAGTGGAAAGAAACTACAAGCTAAGCGGCGGGCGATGCCTGTGCAGAGCGCTCGGCCCGCATGGACACCACACACCAGGGGGCGAGGCCGCATCAGACCCACACGCGCTGAACCAGGAAGATCTAAATGGCACGTGTGTCATTCAGTAACGATAAAGCGAGAGCTCACCGCATCACCTAATTCACACCAAGAAGACAGGTTACAGGGGTACATTTCTGAAAGTCATTTACATATGCAAATGCACAGGAAAAGGAAGAAAAAAGCAAACTGATGACAGAAATCAGGCGTTTGGTCAAAAGGTGCTTGAGCTTTGACTGTGTTGTTTGATTTTTTTTTAAGTAAGAAGTTTTTGTATTCCTTACTGAATTAAAAATAAATAAATAAATACAATTTCTTGCAAAAGGGAAAAACAAGCTTAGCAGGATGTTTCTAAACTGTTAATAATACGCACAGGATCAGAGGAAAGAAAAGGTAATAATTTTGCTCTTCCATTTATATAATTCTATATGACTTGGATTTTCCAAAATGAGCTTTTATAATTTTTTTAAATGTCATGAAGATATTTTTAATTAAAAAAAAAGAAGGCAGGGTTCACAAATCCTCTCTCTATCACGGGGTCTGGAGAATGAGAATTTCATTATTGAGGACGCGTCTGCCAAACAGAGGAGGAAGGAAAAGAGAAGAAAGGAGAGGCCGCTGCTGGAGGCTGGCTCAGCTCCTCAAGACCTCCCTCTCTGTCCCCGTTAACCATGGCACAGTGTTCCAAAGTCCCTTTCTGGCTGGCCTCTGGGCTAATAAGTTAGGCCTCAAATGGCCTAATACCTACTCTCCTGGGCCAAGGAAGCAGGAGAAAACATCAACTTAAAACATGGGCTTTGGTACAGGACAGATGTGAATTCAAATCTTGGCCTCACCACTTAGTAGCTGTGCAACCTTGGCTGAGTTCCTCAGCCTCTCTGAGCCTTAGCTTGTGCCTCTGTAAATGGAGACAACAGGTCCTATCTTGTGCAGCTGTAGTAGTAATTAAAAGAGACAAATAATGGCCAATGGTGTCCTCTGCCCAGCACCCACCACACAGAACACACGTCATCAGTGGCAAATACTGGTGTTGCTATTGTATCAGAAGCATTGCTTCCTCCCGTGCTGCCCGTGGGATCCAGGCTGACCTGGCTTTAAATAGAGACTTCTCCGTGTGTGCACAGTCAGCACCAGGGTGCAGTTCATCCCTTCAGGCTACAAGTCTTTATTTTCATTCAGCAAATATTTACTAAGCACTTATGCTCTGCAAGGCACTGCACCATGCACTGCAGCACAAACAAATACGAGTAAGACGTGGAACCTCCCTGGGAGGAGAGCCCGCGGATCCGCTGAATCAGCAGGAGGGTGCAGCGCTTAGAGGCAGGAGACCCACGTTTGATTTCAGCTCATCCACACCTGTGGTGTGATCTTAAGAAGAGCCTTGAAGCTCTCTGAGGTTGTCTTCTTATTTGGAAAATAAAATTATAATAGTATCTTCATGGGGTCATTCTGTGAAGTGAATACCATTTATGAAAGCAACCAACACGCTCTGGGACAGAGCAACACGATATTCGGTGTTTCTGGAAGTGGTCCCACAAGGAGCACACGCTCTGAGAGGGCAGAAGGGGAAGACAGTAGCTCAGGGAGTGGGGGGCAGGGGGCTGAGAGGAGAGTCAGGGGCAGCTTCAGGTGGGGGCCTCATAAAGCATCAACGGGCAGGAGTGAAGCAGAGAAAGAGGGGAAGGTGGACCCCAGGAAAGACAGGCTCAGAAACAACAGGCAGGTGCAGGAGTTAGGACTTGCCCCCGCGGAGGAGGGAGAGCCTCCGGACTAGTCAGGGCAGGAGAAGGAATTCTAAGAGTGATGCTTAAAGGAGAAAAGCTGGAGCTGAGACGGGAGGGACCAGAGTCCCCCAAAAGAGACTCTCCAGGATTTGCAGATACTAACTACTATACATAACACACAAAACAGCAAGGTCCTACTGTACCACACAGGGAACTGTAGTCAATATCTTGTAGTAACCTATCATAAAAAAGAATACGAAAGAGAATATATCGATGTATATGTACGTCTTAAACGTGATGCTGGATGCCAGAAATAGACACAACATTGTAAACTGACTGCACTTCAATAAAAAGGAATGCAAAGAGAGAGAGAGAGAGAGACTCTCTGGGACAAGAATGGTGAGGGCCTGACCTTGGTGGTAGAGACAGAAAAAGATGACGCCAAAGATGAAGCAGGGACAGAATCCAAGAAACTGCCGGATGGGGTGAAGGGGTGGGGGCTGGGTGGAGGAGCCTCCATTGGGTAGGAAGTTCAGAGCAGGGGCAGCTGTGAGGTGGGGGCCTGAGTGGGAGCAGTGAGGACACAGAAGACAGTTCGGTTTGGGAATATTCAGGTTGTGTCAGCCAGCCACGACACATGGGCTTGCTGGCCAGGCGGGAGGAAATATGGGCTGGGCTGAGCAGACGGGCTGAGTGCGGGTGGCCGGGTGAGGATGGGAGTGGCTGGGACCCAAGCTGGCGGAAAGCACCCAGAGAAAGAGGCTGGGTCAGAACCTGGGGTCATGCACAGAGTGGGAGAGACAACACAGGAAGGGGAAATCGGGGAAGAACAGGGAGAGATAGGTCACATGACATTTCAGGGATAAGGGTGCTTCAAGAAAGAAGGGCTACAGAAAAATATGTGATGGCTTAAGAAAACACTGCCATGGTATAATAATACTGTACAATGCAATAATAAGCAAGTTACTAAATAGCATATGCAATAGAAACCCATTACTGCTAAAACACATCCACATGGAGGGGAAAAACTAAAGAATATAGGTCAAAATGTTAACAGCATTTTTCCTCTAAGTGGTAGGATTATGAGCTACATTTTTTCTTCCTTGTACTTTTCTATACCTTCCAAATTGTCTACAATGAGTGTGTGTTGGTTCTAAACTCAGAAAGCGAATACATTAAGGAAGGAAGAAGTTGGTCAACAGCATCCAAAGTTGAGATGAGATCAAGAAGAGTAAGAATTAGGAAAAAAGCTGTTGAAGAAGACAGGAAGGAAGGGAGGGTGAGCGGAGCTGAGGAGGAGATGGCACGCAGAAGCCACCAGAGCTCACGAAGACAGTGGCTGGAGGGCAGGCAAACAGAGCGAAGGTGGGTTGGCCATGTCCGATTTTAGGAACAGAGGGGACAGCAGCATGGTTGTGAGGCGAGGACAGGGGAGAGAATGAGAGGGATCGACACGAGGGGGGTTTACAAGCAAGGACTGAGGCAGGAAGACGTGGAAGCGAGAACTCCCCTCTCACAGGGGGGGTCAGTCTTGGGAAGGAAGAGGGGCTCCACCTCCCTGCTCATTCTATCCCTTCTGCCTGGGTCTGTGAGTTGCTGCTGGGCGGGGACTACACCTGACGGTCCCCGGGGCCTGGCACTGGATCGCACATAGTGGGGGATGGCAAACTCATGAGTGTGCCTGAGCGCACCCCCTCTTCTGCTGCTCCATCTCTAATGGTTCCTGAATTCTCCTCTGCACCTAGGAGAGTGGGCTGCTACGAAGGAGCACACCAGCCGACTTCGGGAGACCGTAGAAATGCTCGCTGACAAGCAACGGCACAGTTCTGAAAGGCTCTGGAGACCCCAAGACATCAACTGACTTCAAGAGAGGTCCAACCGTAAGACACAATTCCTGAATGCAATTCAACGAGGCTATGAAAAACAAAATGGGTCTAAGATAAGGAGGCAACATCTTTGACTAAGCTATGGCAATAGCAGGATATGGCTAAGAAAAGAGCGAAAACCAGTGATCCTGGGATCAGCAGAAAATCCAGCGACCCTGCAGGGCTTCTGGGGCCTCGAGGAAGGATGCAGCCTGTACCCGGGCCCAGGCTCCACCTGCCCCACGTTGCTGGCTCCACCCGTGCCCAGGTTCTCCGCACAGACCACCCATGAGTGGGCCGCAGAGGTGTCGTGGGAGCCAACAAGACCGCAAGGCCTGGCTGTGGGCTTCTGGCTGGTTCTAACAAAGGGGCCCTGGAAGAGACCCAGCAAGACAAGGAGGACAGGAAGAGCGAAAGTGATGCGATTTAAGAGAAGACAAGTTGACCTCGTGCTGCTCATGAGTCACGCTCAATGGCAGGAGGCAGGAAAGCAAAGGAGATGAACTGGCGCTCGTGACTAAGTCACCCATCTTATTTACTCTATTACTCAGCCCTCAAACCACACTGCCAGCTGTAATTGTATTTCAATTCATGTTTAACACAAACATAACTTAGCTGGATGTTGGCATCCAATATCCCAGACACAGAAAGGCAAAACAGAAAGGAGGCAGCTACTTGGATTCAATAAACACTCATTGCTCGCCTGGTGGAGCGTGGATGCACCCAAGCACAGCGCTGGAGGGAGAGCCGTAGGAAAGACCGTTCCACGGCCTCAGGGGCCTTGGCTGCAGGGAGGGATACACACTAACTGACCTCTGTAATGAGCGTGGTAAGAACTGCAGTGGAGGAAAGTAAAGGCACTATCTAAACACAGAGCTCGAACATAATTCCACAGGGAGAGCAATAGAGCACACACGCAGGGCACAGATGCAAGACTGGCACCAGCACATCTGCAGAACCACACAGAGTTCCCACGGGCAGGATGCGGGTTAGGAAAATTGGGAAGGGGCAGCCAAAGTCTTAGATTCCAATGAAGTCTGTCCATTTGATAAGCCAGCTGCTGAACATTCAGCAATAAGCAAAACAACGGATTTGCCTTTGAATCAAAAAACAGACAGCTGGAGAACAGTTCTAAGAAGGTGAGTAATCTGATCTTTTAGGAATTTTCCACTGGCAAGAATGTAGGAAAGATGAGGTTAGAATGGAGTGAGGAAGAAGCACCAGGAGACCATTCAACAGGCCTTAAAAAAACAGTGGAGAACAGAGTGGTGCTTAGTCAACAGGTCAGTCCCTTCTTAAACTCCTCCCCTCTCATCTGTCCCTCTCCACAATCACATAATGGAGCCTGCAATCATATAATTATCTATTGCATAAAACTCATAAACTTGTCAGCCTAAAATATGCTCCAAACAGTCATGGAACAGCCAAGAAACAGGGTGGGGAATTAGAAACAATAAAAGACTATAATGAGGTTGCTGAATGTAAGATAAATATATTTTCTAAAAAACTAGTTTTCCCCTACACAAAGTGAGATGTTTCTCATCTTTTTCAAAGTTTTAAGATAGTTTACAGAATGTCAGAATTACCTGTTCTTGACGATTTTATAGAATGCTACCATAAGAAGAGTTGGGCCTAGTGGCTTTTGTTGGAAATAACTCGTCCTTTGTTATGGGTTTGTTATAAAATTTCTTCTTCTGAAATAGCAGTAGAAATGACCTACCTTATCAAGATTTTCAGTTTTAGTTCCATAGGGTTGCACATAAGAGCTAAATATTGTATTATTTTATGATTTTCTATTCTCCTTATACTTTTACTTTTCTCAGTCTAAAGTCTGCTTATATTTATTTTATTTCTTTTTACTATTATATTTGCCAGAAGTTTATCTATTATGCTTCTTATGAAGAATCAATTCTCAGTTAACAACTCTCCCCTCTTTTCTCTTACTTCTTATTTCTGATTGTACCTATGTTATTTTCTTCCACGTGTTCATCTAGCTACTTGAGCTGTGGGACAATGTCAAGTGGTCTAACAGACATATAATTAGAGCCCCAGAAAAGGGAGAGGTAAAGAAGAACTATTTTAATAATGACCAGAAATTCTCCAACTGCAACAACAACAGAATATACATTCTTTTCAGGTGTACATGAAATATTTACCAAGACAGATTATAGTCTAGGCTTAGGGTCAATGAACTTGTAGGCCAATCCAGCCTGTAGCCTGTTTGTGCACAGCCTATGAATTACAAATAGTTTTCTTTTTCAAGGCTTAAAAAAATAATCAGTAAGCAATGGAGACCACAGTGGTCCATAAAGCTTAAAATATATACTATCTGGACCTGTACAGAAAAAGTTTGCTGACTCTCATGGGAATACTAGGTCATAAAACTGAGTTTATTCTCTGATGACACAGAATTAAATGAGA